CACAGCGACGGCGGGATGGAATGATGAAAAAAGGGACAAAGAAAGCGAAAAGCTACAACAGGCTTTATGTTTTGCCACTTTCGAAAAACATGACAGGCCACATAGATGTTAGGATGTACCTAAAACCAATAAAATTATAATATTTTGTGGTAACATTATAGTAGGGTATGTATAACGTGGTCTCACAACATACTGATTTGTTCAGCTGTACTCTGAACGAATTCACAAAGGCCGCTTATTGTAAAATATCTTTAAGTTGTGCATAATATACCTATTTATGTTTGTCTAGTTTCTTAGTTTGTAACTGCACTATTGTATTAGGCAATACACCTGTGATGATAGTTGTAAGTGGTAAAAAATAAATAAATAAATAAATAAATGTGTAGCTACTATAAGATCAGCCCTCAAGGGTCCTCGCTCGAGGTCCCCTTGAGTGCGAGGCCTGGACAGCGCATCGTTTGTGAGATTACAACCTATCTCATCACGTAAGTAGGTACTTAGTACGTAGTGCGTGTTGCCAGTGATGACATATTTATGTGAGACGCAGCTGACCGTATGAGAAAACTCAAGGTTGCTCAGCGAGTTGCGTATCGCCAGCAACGCAAAGTCAGGAATTTGCATTTAGAAAAACTCAAAATTAGGGACTTTTTAGTTTCTAATTAGGTGCCAAGTTTAAAAATTAGGTGCTCTAAAATTTTCACCGCAACGGACTGTTAAAATTTGCGTTGCTAGCAAAATGTATCGCTAGCAACTCAGTGACGATAATAGATATACGATAAATATTAATAGCTAGGAATTACATAAGTATTAATCAGGTGCTGCAAGTATGGGCAATGACAAGGCGCCCCTAAAAAAATTAAAGTCGTTATTCAGAACAAAGCAGATGCAAAAATCAGGTTCTGTTTCTGTTTCAGTTACATGAATGAAATCTATAAAAACGTGGACAAACAGACAGAAACCACATTGATCCCATAAGAAGTGTTTCACAAATTAATAAGAGAAGTGTTCACATAGATTGATTTCATAAGGAACACGAATATAAAACAGCGTACTTAATATACTTAAGGTAGAGTTAGAATTTGTAACTAACATATTATAACAGAGCTCAGAAAATTATTTACCTCCTTTCTATTGTCACGAGGAAATCACGCACTTCCTTGTGACAATAAAAATACAAAGAGATTTAAATATATACTCGTAATACTACTACTTAAATGTCTTTGTAAAAATATAAACTAAAAATGTCATTGGTACAAAATGGGTAAAACGTGTTACTACATAGTTTATTTTAATAATTAAATCGGCATGTCCGTTAGCTTGTATGGGGAAAATTAATAGATAGGTAGGTATTGCTCACTGTCTCAATTAGCATAAATTATCATAAAATATTGTACATTTGTTTAACAGGAAGGATGGTTTCTTTGAATATCGGTAAATACCCTACCTACTATTGCAAAATTATACTTCGCAGAAAATGAGCATTTTTTATTTATTTTTGAACGTATAGCGTAAAACCACAGCATTTGTTTTGATAGGGGTTTTACTATCGGTTGTCAACATTTTTAAGTGGTAGAGCCATGCTGCAGCTATATTACTGGTATAGTTGTAGCACGAATGGGTCGGCTCGACCGGGGAAGGACCACGCTCTCAAAGAATACCAGCGTAAAATAGCAGCTTAACGCTGCTGTGTTATGTATGATGAGTGTAGACCGGAGACCCTTTTTACTGGAAACGAGGCATTCCATCTTGGTCCTTACGGGTGACAACGCATCTGCATTTTGATTCGTAATCAAGGATAGATGTAGATGTCTATGGGCCACAGCAACCACTTACCATCAGGTGGACTGTGTGCTCGTTTGGCACCATTGTCCTATAAAAAAAATTCAGAACATTAAAAGTCCACAGCTGAACATTCGCCTACATGCTACAAATCATGGTCCACTTCAGGTAGATAACGGATCGTTGAGCTAATTTCGGTTACTCTGGTTCCATTGTGGAGTTATAAGTGGAGGAGGAGTCCATGGAGGAGTTGGAGAGATAAATCGAGAATAGCTCTCTCTATGCTTGCTAAGCGACCTTGAGCTTCCTCATGCGGCCAGCTGTGAACGACAAAATTATAGAGTCATCTCTGGCAATACGCACTGGTTGTACACTCTTATTTTTAAGTTTTGAGGTGCGCGCGATGAGAAGCTGTATCATAATCTCCCGAACACTGCCCAGCCAAGTTGGATCCGTCGATTGGCCTCTCGGTCGAAGTTGGACTTAACATTTTTAATTTGGGCAATTTTTTAGAGATAAATTTCACTACGGGGGCAACGAGAAGGTTATGCCGAACTCCTACCGGTTAAAACACAGTAGTCACCATCAGCGTAGATGAGAGGTCCAGGGATTGTTGTTCGGAACGCAACCGGGGATCCAATATCGCTATGCTTTGCTAGAAGCACGTCCTGGTAGCAATACTCCATAGCTGTTGAGTGACCTTGAGCTTTCTCATATGGCCAACGGTAAAGGATCACGTTTAAAGTAATCACGTGCAACACGCACTTGTACTCTTGTTTTCAAGTTTTAAGGTACGCGTAACGCGATATTCGTAATTTCTCGAGCGCTGCCCAGCCAAGTTGGGTCCGTCGATTGACCTCTCGGTTGAAGATGGACTTACTTTTTTGGACTAGGGAAAATGCTCAAGGACTTCTGACGGCTAAAACCCCACGGTAGCCACCATCAGCGTAGACGAGGGGTCCCATGATTTCTGTTCAGAACGAAACCGTGGCCGATCCATCGCTATGCTTTTGTGTGGACACGAAGTCCTGGTCCCGCCTACCGCAGTGGAAGCAGATAGCGTCTGATAACACAGATAATCACTAAAGTTCTTTTCTCCAAGAATGGCAGCAATCTATGCATAGTATCCGCCAGCCTCTCAATCCAGGAGACTGGGCGCTCGTAGAGCTCTTTGAAGCCCCAGCGACTGTACAGGATGAGGCCTAATTACTTCATGTGCCACTCCGCTCTGACTTTAGACCCACCCACGTAGACAACAAATCTGGCGGTTCCTTGCCCTTGAAACCTTAGGGTTCCAAAGGGCCTCGTTCGGTCCATGAGAAGCGATTTCAAATCCCAACTCGTGAATTTTACGACACAAATTTTGGTATAGGTAGGTAGGCACCCGATATTGTGCCAGTACTCTTCTGATTTCATCCCGGGGTAAAGAGTAAAAATCAAACGATATCAAGACTTACCGCCAACGCCACGCCACCCTGGTTCACTTGTTGCTATCGGAACTAACGATCGAAGTTGGGCTTACCTATTCGGATAATTTGTCCTACAACATAGTCGTTAACAACTTTGAGGGTAGTGCACCCAACAACTGCCATAGGTGTGACAGGGACGTTACACATGACATTTTTCTTATCAATACTCATCTTAAGACTTAATTATTCTTTGGGAGACACTATTGAGGTTATTGAGTGTGTTGCAGAGGTCCTGCAGCGATTCTGCCATATTGACTATATCGTATTCGTCATTGATATTGATACCGTATCGTTTTCAGTCCAGTAGCTTGAAAACGTCGAAGTTTTCACGCCTTTCAATGCAGCGGCGAAGAGTTTCGGAGATATATAACGTTCGTTTCGTATAACAATCATAGCTCTGCTGTAAAAATACTTAAAACATCGATATATCGACAATCAACTTGGCACCGCTGAATAGACTGTGGCACCCTCAAATTTTGATGGAATAAAAGGTTGCTTTTCTGCTCCACGCCTCCGAAGCAATGGAGGACAGAAATGAAGAGCTTTTGAAGGACTTGAAATAACCTCGTCCGGGGCCTTGCCTGTGTTAATTCGCGGGTGAGCCATTCTAATCTCGCTCAGACTGACGTCTGGGATATCATCGGAATAGTGTAGAATGAGACTTTGCTCTTAGATAGAAGCAATTGTTTTTATAAAACTGAAGAGACTAAGTGACAAACTAACTTACAGTCTATGGACAATTGCAGACAACTTTAAGCAAAGGCTACGGATGCGTTGTCACAACCGAGGACTAAGATGGAATGCCTCACGGAATGTAATAATTATAATTGCTCTGTGTGGGGGGTACACAGAGCAATTATAATCATAACGGAACACAGCAGTACAAGAAATAAGTAAGTGAAGGTACCTACTATATATATGGTACTGTTGTATAGACATAATTCTGAACAGAAAATAAACCCTACCAGCTACTAAATTATGAAATTAAAACTAGGTTCAAGGTTAACAGGGTAATTAAATAGGATGCAGCTATATTGTTGCAGAGCCTATTCTTAAATTATTGGTGTTCATTTATTTGAAACGGTTTGATAGAAGTGCTTGGTATGTACGCCAATGTTCTACTCAAAGGTTCCTACTTGGTATAATTACCTATATCAAACATCTGGCACCATTGCCACTGCCACCCGTTGCCGGACTGGGAATAAAATGTCCAGGCACGCGACTGCCATACGTAAATAAGATAATCTGTCATCTATCGGAGGCCATAAGAATTCTCTGATATTTCCCATAATAATAATGTCCTCTAGACGGAATTTCGGTCACGGCGGCCAGCCTCAACGGAGACTAGTCATCGGCACAGGACAGGATTATAGTGTCCAAGTGTATGCGCAATCACAGTTATTCTCTCTCTATTCCCTCACTCTCATAGTCCGATGGGACGGTTAACCGATACGACCAGAGAAAGATCAGGCGCAGGACCAAAAGGCTTTACGTGCTTTCCGAGGCACGGGGTGAGACACCGCTCTTCCTGAATCCGGGCGGCTAATGAGAATTTCTTGATGGAAAAGCTCAATATCTGATTTTTTGTCCCGACCCGGGATTTGAACCCGGGACATCATGTTCGGCTAACGCACTACTACATAATAAACTTACAAAAAACATGGCATGGAATGAGGTGATGAATTTTATTATGGTGCCGCCATATGGTTACGGTCTTAAATTAAACAAGTTATTCATTTGTTTCAAGATTTATTATGCTGCCATTGCTTGTGTTCTTTTTGCAGCCTGTCTTGCCATTTTCTTTTTCATTAGCATTTGTTTCTTCTCTTCTGGCGTTTTTTTAAGACCCTTCATCTTGCGCGTTTGAAGTCTGTTGATATCTTGTTTACCAATGTGGATACGACCCATTTTGGTACCAAATGCATCCTTCGATATGTTCTTCTTTGTTATAGGTTTTAACTCCTTTGGTATCTTACAAGATTCTTTGTACAAATCATCAGAAGCTAATTTAGTTCTCCTCAATTTAAAGTCTATTGAAGGACCTAAAACAAAGTACACTTGTTAGAAAAAATTGCGATTTCCAATATGTACTGCTGCACTTTTTTATACACTTTTATATTAGCTTGATCTGTATGTGTATGTTGTGGATCAAGTGATTAATAAGACATTATTCATAATGCCCAATATGAGTAGGAAATGTGATAAAAAACTTGAAAAAATTGACAAGGCCAAATATTGTTATGTGTACAAAACTAGAGAAAATATCAAGAAAAATAGTTTTAATTTTTTCCTATCTTAAAAAATAGCTGAGATAATGAAAACTAAAGTGCGCCTTCCCGCGCTATGTTATCCTCAAAATTCTGCCGGCCGGATAAAGCCCAGTGACGTCATCACTAGCGTCCCACCGCGCAAGGGAATTTCCATTTCTAATTCGCTCGCAATGTCGAGCGGGTCACTCACCGCTGTGACTATTATTTTTGACAAAAATTCTCATATAAGTTTTGTGTCGTAGCCGTGTGTTACAATACGATCAAAAACCACCGAACAAATTAGTTTTAAATGGTCCTTCTATTTATGGAGATATTTATAACATATGACTACAGCTACATACAAACTCATTTTCAATTCTATTATAAATTATACCAATAGGAACATGGTTCACAATATTCTAAAAATTAACATCGTAGTCTTGTACTAAAATAGTATTACTTTTTAGTACACGTTTTCTATCGTAGTTTGGTTTTAGTTATTAATTTTCTTTAGTACACTTCATAACACGCATATCATTTTTTTAAGAACAGCATATTAACAATTTTTGAAGTTTATGTGTGAACTAAGTGGTAGGTCTCCGTTTCTGCGCGGGAATTTGTCTGGATAGGTATCACCCTCTTAATACCGGTATAAATACAAGCTGAGGCATTCCATCTCATTCCGTAGACGTGACAATGACGTAGCTTTTTTGTTCGAAGTTAGCTGCAAGTTTCCATGGGCTGCATTAGCCACTTACCATCATTAGGTGGACTGTTGGCTGCAGTTTGTTGGTTACTTCAGTTTATAAAAAAAAAAACGTGAACTAATAAATAGTTATACAGTTAACATTTTTATAACATGTATTTTCGCAATGTCGAGAACATTCTGAATTACACTTTTTATTGAATTTGGTATTCAAAACAACACGGGAATAAAACTAATTTTACAGATTTTATCACGTTTAATTTTAACTTCCCGACGTTTTGGGCCCTTTACAGCACCCATGGTCACGGGGGACACTGAGGTGCTTGACGCCCCGATGTCATAGGCTAACTTCAACTTTTAATTATTAATTTTTGGTACGATCTACACAGAACGAGCTTACAGTGTTTTTTTATAGGATAAGGGTGACCAACCAGCACACAGTCCACCTGATGGTAAGTGGTTGCTGTGGCCCATAGACATCTACATCTATCTTCGATTAAGAATCAAAATGCAGATGCGTTGTCACCCGTGAGGACTAAGATGGAATGCCTCGTTTCCAGTAAAAGGGGTCTCCAGTTCTCTACACTCACCATACGAAACACAACAGCGTTAAGCTGCTATTTTACGCTGGTATTCTGTGAGAGCGTGTACCTTCCCCGGTCGAGCCGACCCATTCGTGCTACAACCATAATATAGCTGCAGCATGGCTCTACCACGTATAAAGAATTTTGAATTTAAAGTATTTTGAAGTCTTGCAGTAGTATGCTTGGGTTTGGATTTAATTCTATTAGTTATGGAATCCCAAGCAGATGGTAGCACCCAACAATATTCTCTACTAAAATTAGGATGTTTTTTTTTTATTTCAATAGCCTCGCGAATCATGTTGTTTTTTTTTTCTAGCTTCCTAGTCACAATTGAGATGCAGTCTTCAATAGGTAGGCATGTAAATAGTGACTAGACATCAAAACTAACCATAGTTTCATTGTCAGCAAGATTTTTTACCATCCGTCAAGTGTAATATCCGTCTACAAGATGCAGGAGTGTACAAGCTTGATTGTGAATGTGGTCTCTTTTACATAGGGCAAACAAAAATATCCATAAATACCCGCGTGAAATAACACATCGCTGATGTGATGCACCGACGCTCCGGGAAGTCTGCAGTATGTATGACATGTTCAGAATCGTCCCAACAATTCTATCAAATTTGATAAACAACAAATCCTCGCAAAAGGACACCGATTCCTACCAAGGATGATTCGTGAGGCTATTGAAATTAAAAAAGATCCTAACTTCAATAGAGAAGATGGCTGGTTGCTAGCTACCTTCTGCTTGGGATCCCATAATTAATAAAATTAAATCCAAACCCAAGCATACTACTGCAAGACTTCAAGATACTGTAAGGTCGTTCTGCGTAGATCAGAAAAAAAATTAATAATTTTTAATCTGGAGGTAGCCATGGTTAACTAAGACATTGGGACGTCAAACACCTCAGTCCCTTTGCAGTATCTACTGTCCGACCGTTGCGTACGGTGAATAGCTGAGCAGTGAGAAACGCGAGGGATGATGTCACACTTCGAGTGCGCGAAATCTCGGTAATTTGAAAAACCGCACTATCTGATAGCAAACTTACAAGTTAAACTTAGTTACAACGTCGCTAATGCTCATAATACTTTGCACGCCTCGGAAGTGACTTTCGTGAAATGTATTAAATCAAAATGCACCTTACGTCCGCGTGAGAGCGTCTGTATTACTTAGCCCGTTACGCGCCTTTGTTAAGACCGCTTCTACTGTAGGGTTAGGTGTTGTGAGTAAAGAAATTGAATCCTTTGATAATAATATGTTATATAGTAGAATACACCGAGGTATTATGCAATGTATTAGTAATTCTTTATTATTTATAGGATTTTCTCCTGTATCGTGGAGGCAGTTAACAAACAGAAATTGCACAAGGACAAACATTTAGACCCGGAACAATTATTTGTAGGCCATACAAATATTTCTTCCGTGCGGGACTCGAACCCGCGGCTCCAGCGTTGTTCATTAAAAAGTTCTTAAATATTAAAAGTTTTTGAGTTATTAAAGAAAAACTTTTTTTCATCTTATTTTGTTAATAACAATTGCAATTATTTGTACTAATAAATCCTCGAGATACATTTTACTAGACGTCATTCCGAATCGAATGAGCTATATGTTTAAGAGGGGGAACAAGAATTAACATGTTTTTGAACTCGTTGACTAGACTAGTAGATGTGTTACAAGTTGCAATGTTATTCGTTTCGCCGGCGTATATGGTACTTGACGACAATGCACCAATTTATAAATTACTTTACTAGAATTTTTATTCCTAAATAAGATATCATTTGTTTCATTTATTTATGTAGTAGACTAACTTTATTGTATAAAATTTGAAAACCATGTTTGCATCCGTGGACCAAAAAGCTTCTGAATCCACAACAACCATAGTGCTAATCAGAAAACATAGAGATAAAAATTAATGTTAATATATTTTATAAAGTTTTTAAATTAAATATGCCTTTACCGATTTCTTCCAATTCAACTCTAGGTGTTCGCTGACCACTTTTCTTCAATAATATTCTATATGATCTAAAGTAAATAGATCCATCATCAGTTGCTGTGAAACTTAATGCATGCTCCAAACCCTGAAGTCTTATGCTTTCAACCTAGAATTATAACAAGGCCGTTCATTGTTTATTTTTATACATTTTTGAACTGCTATTTATATCTTAGACCCAAACAAACAATCAATATTTATGTATTCATATATTCATACATAGATAAAGCTAAAGGAGCCAAATATTGCTAAACTCGCCTCAGCAGAACCCAAAATCACTCTGGTCACACTCTTAATCTAATCGCTGCTGGCTGGAAAATAAGTATGTTTGAAGGCTATCGAACAGATAAATCTCAACAAAATCGAGACATTTCATCATGGGATCATTCATGATAGCGAGATCGAAAAGTTTTTGATTCCTGAAGTTTTCAATTAAATCACACATAAATGTGAGTAAATACTCAAGGGCAAGTCACATCAAAGACTATTTACTTCAGAGGCTTTTAACTTCAATTCACTATCTTTTAGACCTATTGTGCTTTTTTTTAAAGTATTTTTTTACTTTTTAAATTATATTAGAAAAAAATGAAGTTAAACTCTGGAAATTATGTGGTAACTGGTTACAAGCTTTAAAGATGTTTTTGTATGATGTGACAATTAATCTAAATATCTCATCTAGTAGAATGCACATCTTAGACACAGCTTTCTCTCCCCATCTGGGTGTTTATGTCTGGTGTAAAAAGATAATTAATAAATATAACTTAAATTGAAAATTTAAGTAATCCCCGAAACAAAAAGAGCTGATGATCTTCAAACGACTGAAGCGATTCTAATAAAACATGTCTAAGAACCACTGCTAGAAAACCTGCTTTTAAAATAAAAAAAATCCCACACCCATATTGGTTCACCCGTTTAAGAAGTACGGTGCCACAGACAGATACACATAGCGGTCAAGCTTATAACAACCTTCATTTTGCTTCAGGGGTTAAAAAGCTTTTTTTTATAGGATAAGGGTGGCAAACGAGTACAGTCCACCTGATGGTAAGTGGTTGCGGCGGCCCATAGACATCTACATCTATCCTCTGTTACAAATCAAAATGTAGATGCGTTGTCACCCGTGAGGACTGAGATGGAATGCCTCATTTCCAGTAAAAAGGGCCTCCGGCCACCTGCACTCACCAAGCGAAACGCAGAGGTAAACCTCTACTTCACGCTGGTTTTCTGTGAGGTCGTGGTACTACCCCGGTTCGAGCCGGCCCATCCGTGCGACAGCAAAAGCTGCCGCGTGGCTCTACCACTGTTGAAATATGTGTGCGCTGTCGCACGCTACCACTGTTAAAGCTATTTATAAGCCAAGAAATTTTTTGGCATTTCTCATAGTCACCTCTTACAATACCCAACAGGACAAAATGGGTAATGGATTGACTTATCCCACCAACATATGCCTAGTCATTATTATAGGATAGTAAGAACGGTAGAACAAAACAGTTAGTGAATAGAAATCGTAAATAAGTACAAGTTACCTTTTCTCTATGAAAAAAATCAGTAAACAAAGATTTCAATCTTTTTAAATCCTGATTTAAATCCCATGCTGGTCCATTAAAAATAAGGCAAGGCTTAAGACCAGCAAGTACTTTCATATTATGAAACTCAGACATAGCTTTATATTTATCAGCACCAAGTTCTATCATATCTAAGATACCATAATTGAAGGTTCTTCCCAATATTATATTATGAGGGCGTTTTTTACTATGTGATCCGACACCAAACAATGCTGCTTCTTTTTTGTAACTCAATCTGGAAATAAATTATTATATATTAAGTAAACTTATTAATTAATAATTGTGATAAAATTAAATTTTCAAATAAATTTCAAGCACAATAATGTAAAACTATCATCATCATGATTATAACAGCCTTTCACAAGTCCAATGCTGAAAATAGGCCACCCCAAGGAATGCCACAAAGCATGGTCCTGAGCCACCTGCATGTCTTACCATGTTATCACTTCATCTGGTCGCTCCACACTAGTACATGGCTGCCAACTTTTATCCCCATCGGTTGTCAGTTCATCAGGTTATATGACTGGCCAATTGCTTAGGCTTACTGATCTGTTGGACTATGTTGGTTACTCTGTTTCCACTGCAAATATCTTCATTATAAATTCTATGGTGCAAAGGAACTCTGAACAAAGACCCCTATTTGCTTGCAGAGCAACCTTGAGCTTCTTCATATGGATAGCAGTGCAACCATTAATCTGATCAGAGTTAAATAAACCAATTGTGTTCATTAACCATCAATGTTTTATTAATCAAATTGCTTTTTCTTGTTTAAATACTAGCGTAAAATAGCAGCTCAATGCTTCTGTGTTCCATCTTAGTCCTCAGCGTTAACAACGCATCTGCGTTTTGATTCGCAAATGAGCATAGATGTAGATGTCTATGGGCCACAGCATCCATTTACCATCAGGTGGACTGTGTGCTCGTTTGTCAACGCTTATACTATGAAAAATATGTGCAGACATTTTGATTCTTTATAAATTTATATAGCAACTAGCTGGCCAAGTAAACTTTGTTCTGCCCTTTCTGACGACCCTTCCTATAAAAAATCCTTAAATTTGCAATAAAAAATATTGAGGGTCACCACTTATTGGAGTAAAAACTATCCTATCTCTCAAGTTGGACTAAACTGCACAGTATGCAAAATATCATTGAAATCAGTTCCGTAGTTTAATTCATCGCGGAAAAACAATATGACACTAAAAATTACAGAAACTCATAAAATTAATACCTGGCTTTTTTTTCTAAAAAATAACTTCTTTGCCCACAATGGCATTATTTAGTGTCACAGTTTAATAATATGGAAACTTATTTTTCAAAAAGTAAAATTCCATAAAAATATTTTACAGCTTTGAGGCAAACATCTATAAGGCAATTTAGTGCATAGAATCAGAATCAGAATAAGAACATGGTATATAAATGTGGTACATGTTAAAAAGGTGCACATGTCTCGCTATTAAAAATAGCATGCAAAATTTATATTAAATAGTATTTTTCAATTATAAACATAAAAATAATATCACAAAGTTTAAGTCATTACAATAAATTACATTGAATTAAAGATAAATTAAAATATGTCATATAAAATTAATAGTAATTGGATTTGATGGCAATAGTCTTTAATGTCATATATTTTCTGTGAATGAGCCACTTAAATAATTTTGATTGATTAGTATTAAAATATTTGTCATTAGGAATTATATTATATATTGTTAAACAAATTTTTAGGCTACTTTTAGGGTATTTAATTTACCTTGGGATAACATCTAACACAAGTCTACTAGGCTTTCGCTTCAATCTTGTGTTCATGTCCCTTGCTTTCATAAACAAATTGATATTTCTCTTCACGAAACAGCTTATTTAAAAATATATAATGCCGGCAGCAAAAGTATGTTTAGATTTGCAAAAGTTGTTCTACAGGATATGCCAGGCGGTATTCCAGAGATAGCTCAAATACACTTTTTTTGAGCTATAAACGCCTTTTGTATATTTGTGCTATTTCCTCACATTATTATCCCGTAGTGCAAAATGGAAGCTATATACGTGTGGTATGTAATAAGAGCAGTTTGTAAATTTGTCACCTTTCTCATTTTGTTAAGGGCATAGACAATTACACAAAGACGTGACACGTAATTTCCAGTTTAGGTCCTGGTCTATGACTACTATCAGAAACTTGGTAGTCCTTATTTCCTTTATTTTATCAATATTTAGCTTAAAATTTAATTGTTTATGTTTGGATTGATTAAATTGGATAAAATGTGATTTGTTTAGATTTAGTTTTAAATTGTTTACGTCTAGCCATTTAATAATGCATAACTATTTCTTTTTAATGTGTACCATTTGCCATTAGTGTGTTGCGATGATCATTGTAATAGTAATAATTATTAAATAAATGTTTTTGTACTAAATTTTTTTTTTTTTTTTTTTTTTTATAGGAGAGGGGGCAAACGAGCATGCGGCTCACCTGATGGTAAGTGACTACCGCCGCCCATGAACAACCGCAACACCAGGGGAATTGCAGATGCGTTGCCGGCCTTTTAAAAAGGAGTAGGCTCTTTTCTTGAAGGTCCCTAAGTCATATCGGTCCGGAAAAATCGCTGATGGTAATCGATTCCACAAGGAAGTCGTGCGAGGAAGAAAACATCTTCTAAATCGCACAGTGTAAATATTTACTTTTAAGAGAATCCACTATCCCATATCATCTCGTGGGTATCTTCACTATCCTCTTCCCCCAGTTCACTTTCAAGGGGAAAGTGAAACGAGATGATAACAGCTCAAAATAATAAAAAAAAAACTGCAATGGTTTGAGGCTATAATAATAATGGTAGCCCAAATTCAGCAGTGGATTTGAAAATACTTCAAAAATAAATTTCAGAAATATAAACATCACTTCCTTACTTTTCTATTAGGCTTGAGTCTTCGAAAGGTACAAAATCATTTTTCCGGCTTAGGAATGCCGCATCTGGTTTTTTCAAATCGTAGATATCTTTCAATAATTTTCTTGTCCGTTCTGATGGATTTCGTCCTTGCAAAAATATACACTGCTTCGGTCCTTCGATTGGTTTTGGTTCCTTGGAAAGTAAAACTTTTTTACCTCTTCGAGTAGTGGGTTTCCTGCAAATTACACATCAACGTTTAACAAATTTTGTAAGTTGATCATAATAATATTTTCTTAAATATATATTACTTAATCCGTTGGATAACAGCCATTATATTTAATTTATTATTTTTATTTTTATAATTATTATTAACCAACAAACATCAAACACACGTGTTGAATATAAATTAAAATTATGAATTGACATTTGACAGTTTGACACATGTGTTTTGTTGATTTTTGGATGCTTGTCTTTTAAACCACGTCTTCATTTCATTCGGGATCTTCGTATTTATTTTTTATCGTAGACGTAATGTATTTTTAAATAGTCAGAAAATATTTCATATTCTTCAAAAACACAATCAAGTGGCGTGGGTGGCATTATTTGCGATAGGTTCACTTTAACTGTCACACACTTCACTAACTAATAAAAGCCGTTGAGAGTAGACATGGAACGAATAGTGATTCGCCGAATACTCGGCCGGCGGGTACTCGGCCTAGATTGGGCCGAGTACTCTGCCGAATACTCGGCTTTAAAAAAAACGCGGTAGCGTGTGGCGTGCGGTTATTTCCCTTACACATAGTTAGGGATGAAACGACTCGAGTAAATAAAATTAGTTACTCCATACTTTTCTCTCGATTCTAAGTACTTTGGGTATCGATACTTTAAAACTCAGTACCAAGTAGTATCGAAAGAAAAGTACTTGTATCGGTATTCAATCAGTCACACACCCACGGACACTGTTGATGAGTGATTACTGATTACTTGTCAAATGAGACAACATGAGTTGTTTCGAGAGATTGTTTTCTTATCTGGCGCGAAAATGACTGCCTATAGAAAACGTTTTATCGAAAAACATCTAGAAAAATCACTGATCTGATTTTAGACCCACGCTACAAAACCAACTTTTATAATGCTTATCAAGCAGATCAAGCTCGCAAGACTGTCCTAGGAGAAGCTCTAAAAATATCGCTAGACACAGAAGATGATGAACTTGACAATGACGCAGAGCCAGCAGAAAAAGCAGCTAGAATGATAGATAGAAATCATACTGCTTCTGAAGCTCATATTCTATTCTGGAAATTTTTTGGAGAAGCTGCTGACGCATCAACCAGTTACCAATCTAATGGTCCTAAGAATTCCGCTGCAGCAGAGTTAGGTCATTACTTAAGCATGCCAAGGGACGCAAGAGATGCAAATCCATATAAATGGTGGGTTTCTAATAAAGGTCATTACGCCATCTTGGGAAAAGTTGCGGCTCAATACTTATCAACACCCACCAGTTCAGTTTACAGTGAACGGCTTTTTTCAGAGGCGGGCTTAGTATATGAAGCAAAAAGGAGCAAACTAGACCCAAATCGGTCAGAATAACTAGTGTTTTTGCATCACAATCCTCCTCTCTTAAATTTTAAATATTAGTAATAATAATTTCTATTATAGATTCTTATGTACGTTCTAAATATTTCTGCTGCTTATCATGTTCCTGATGTTTTAATGTGTCTAATATAATAATAATGATAAAAACTGGCTTTTTGTCTTTATTTTTCTCTGGAATATAATTAAGGCCG